TGGGGTCACTTGATCAGCCACCCCCCCAACTTTGGGGGCAGCGGATGATTTCCGGTAACCCCGCTCCGGCGTGTCCGCTCCCCCAGTTCTTATTCTCTATAAAGGAATGGCACTTCAGCGGTGTCCGCAATCGCGTGCTACAGCGGGTGGCTGGAAGCGTTCCACGGGTTACGTGGTCACGTGACGCAGGTGCTGGAAAGTTAACTGAAACACACAAGCTTGTGCAGGCGGGATGCGGTGGGGCAGTCGCCATCGCTCTTGAAATCGCCGAGGGCGCCAAGAGGAGGTCACTCCCTCCGTGGGCGTGGAAGCTGTGCCGACCCCCCTGGGGGAGGCTGGGTGGCCCATCATTCCCGGGCTCGGTGCCTCCTGCTTTGTTTAACAGATGGGACTTCCATCCACTTTCACAGAAGACGCAGGGTGTCAACGTGCACCCTCAGGAGCCACTCTATCAACCGCTGGGGGACACAGCACCGTCTGTCAAGTCTGGGACAAATTACCATGAGAGAGGGAGTCCAAGCCTGTGGGCACTTCTTGGAGTGTTTGCTCCTCATTCAGCGAGGGGAACGCGGCAAACAGGGACCCATCAAAGGTGTCGAAGGCCGGCTGGCGCTGCGGAGAGAAACGAGGCCCAGGGGTGAACGCCATGACCCGTGTGAGAAGCTGCAGGGGAATTACCGATTAGACGGGCAATCGCAACGCCACCGCCTGCTACTGAGAGCAGACTTCCGAGTTGACCAAAGCGACCCAAAGGACGCCACTGGACTCTGAGCCCTCTGATGAACCTTGCAGAGTCAGAGCGACTGTGGCTCAGTGAAGGTCGCGGGGGCAGGACCTCAGCCACCTGGCTCTCCTGACAGGGGCAGGGCCATGTCACTCAATGCAACTAACATGACAGGCCAAGGACTGGGCAAGAATGGGAAATCTGACAAAGCCATTAACAACTTGTTTCTCAAGCGTTTGTTTTGAAATGTCTGCAGTGAAGCAATTTAACTGAAGCTGGAAGAGGTTCTTCCTTATCGGTTTCATCTCACAGAAGTCAAGTGTACTGAAGATTCCCCAATCCCCACACGCAGTACTGTCACAGGACACATCTTCTAGGACTTGTTGAAGACCCCCCTGTGTGGTGATTTAAAAATTTTCTGCATCAAAATAGGCTTATCTTTTAACTCCACTAATTTTTTTAATTACCCTGTATTAAGGGGTCAGATTTCCAAAGGAAACAGGTTTAAACGTACACTGCTTCCAGTCCAGGGGAAAGACAGGCCTGGAAACATGTTAAACCGTGCCAGTATCTGATCATCTCACATTTATGAGGGAAACAGCCTTTACTAGAAACCTCACGTCTAAGTCACGGACAGTGTCTTGATTCATCACTGAACAGAGGTTGTATTTCTCCAACAGAAGCTGGAAATCCCGAGTCATGTGTAATACAATGACCCACCTGCTGAGTCATCATTTACAAATGCGTTCCCCTGTGCTTTCTCTTTAGAAATTCGGAACAACCGAGGGGGCCTTAGAGCAGAGAGCAGACGGCCCCGCGCACCCGGGTCAGGCTGCCAGCCAGGACCAGGCGTGCAAGCACAGGGCTGGCGCGCCCCTGGACTCACTCACTACCTTAGAGCAGGCCTGGTTTTGTGACACATTCAACGGATTTGCAAACTTCCCCTCAGCATGGCCCAGGTGACTAAGAAACGCCTTCCCGACTTGAAGTTCTTTTTTTTAAAACCAGGAAGTCAAAGAACAATACTTGGGGTTCTCGAATAGTTCATGGAAACTGTGTATTGTGAAAAACTGATGCAAGGATTTCCAAATTTTGCCATGTACTAAAAAAATCTTTTTTTTTTTTAAAGTTAGTTGAGAGGCAAAGACGGAGAGAAACACTGAGAGCGAGCGAGTTCTCATCCCCAATGCCAACAACATTCCCACAAATGCCCCCAACATTCCCGCAAATGCCCCCAACATTCCCGCAAATGCCCCCAGCAGCAGAGGCTGGGCCAGCTGGGGGCTGGGAGCCTGAACTCCACCCCAGGTCTCCCTGAGGGTGGCAGGGACCTACCCTCCTGAGCCGTCACCTGCTGCCTCTCAGGGTCTGCAGGAGGTGGAGTGAGGAGTGAACAGGCGCTCAGTATCACAGCCAGGTACCAGGATGTGGGGCACAGGGCCCCCACCCAGCGCCTGAACCATTGAGCCAACACCCACCCCAAACTTATCTTGAGTTTCATTTTTCCACGAACTTTTCGGAGCACCCCCGTACTAACCAGTGCCTCGCGTCCCAACACACAGGCTTCAGCTGGGACTGTTTCTGCTCCAGACCCAGAAAATGCGTGCACACCACGCATTCTTGTAACTTACAGAAGGATGTTCCCCTCAGAGGAGTGTGGCTTCAACTAACACCTCAATCCTCGTGCCACATGCATCCCACCCAGAACTTGTGATCAGATCCAAACCGAACAAGGGAGCGCACCACGCTGACACCTGACGGCCTTCCCTGGCCCTCTGAAGGGGTCTGAGCGGGACCCTGGGCAGCTTCAAAATGCTCCAGGGCGACAGGATGAAAACGTAAGCTTGTTTTGGTTCAAAAACACTTTTAAAGGCCAAGCAGTTTTCCTGTGATATGAATTCTTCATGAATCTTCCAAAGACCCCTTGCGTACGTGGGTTTCAAGTCTGTACCAAAATAAACTTAATCTTCTTGCCCTTCCCCACGAACATTTCCTGACCTCCCTGAAGTCCCCTCCTGACCTCGCGACAACCTGCTAAGGAGACTACCACCTGCCACGGCTACGTCACCGTCGTCACACAAACGCCACAAAGCTCTGGAGGCCAACGCTAAGATCACCGCTTCCGAAACACGTTTACTTCCCAGCACTGAGGGACACCCAAAGCTTGGCCGGCATCTGGAGGAGGCAACCACTCTGCACCGTGAAACAATGCTCCCCTCCCCAAAGGAGCCACAGCAGAAGCACCGGAAATCTGTCAGGCAGCAGAGGAGGGAGGTGCCTTGACCTCGCGTCCGCAGACCCCGGGCTACCTGCCCCTCCCCAGTGCCTTCGCAGCCTTGCCATCTTCCCAGGACGCGCCCAGGGAGACCGGAGAGGCAGCAGAGACCAGAGATGGCTCGCCAGCACTTTCACTGGGGGTCACAGGCATTTCCACACCTGGAAGGAGCCTCGGAAACAAACAAGGAGGGCCTCGCTCTCCACAAGTTAAATGGACTTTGTATCTTGGAAGCACAACCAGCAGGGTGATTCCTTTTTAGAGACCAGAAACCTGAGACCCAAGTGAGTACCAGACCCACGTCTCTGGGACCCAGACCCACGTCTCTGAGACCCGGACCACGTCTCTGGGACCCGGACCACGTCTCTGGGGCCCAGACCCACGTCTCTGGGACCCGGACCACGTCTCTGGGACCCAGACCACGTCTCTGGGACCCAGCCCCGGCCCACTGTTTTCTCCCGGAGACTGAGTTTCTAACTAAAAATCAGTGAAGACTTGCTCACTCACCTTCAGCGTCCCCCGGTAACTGTTGGCCACAGGGGCCACCTGGTCCATGTTCTTGATTCCAAAATCATTCATCTTAAAAGAGAAAAACAAAGAGGCACCACATTAAGGACATTTTCAAGTCGCCATTAGTAGTGGCCCTGCGACTTTCAGGCCAAGCGCCACTGCTAACAGGCACCTCACAGCGGAATTACTCAAAGGCCCTCCGTGGGTGGCCGTGCAGGTATCTGAACAGTAAGGCTGATTCACAGAACTGCACCAGCAGAGTTGCACAGGAGGCCCCCTGGCAGCCTCCCTGCGGGGGTGGCGGGGGGCGGGGGGCTGTGCCAGGCTCTCACCGGCACAGGGGAAGGCTTGGGTATGGCAGGCCCTGGGCAGGGCAGCGGGCCACCCATCTGCACAGGGCGCACTCAGCTCCTTGGGACCTCGAGGGCAGCCGCAGGGGCCCCACACCTGCCCCGGGGACCCAGACCCAGGAAGGAGAGCAGGAGGGAAGGGCGGAGGCTTGTGCACGGCCCAGGACAGCCAAGAAGGGACAACCCGTGGCCAGACTCTCTCTGTGCTGACCCAGGTCCTCCTGCTTTCAGAACCGAGCTCTAAGTATTCCTGCTCTGGGTGTTGCCCAGCTGTGTGTTTCAAGAGGAAAGATTTCAAGGATGGCTCTGCGTTTCTCGCTTGCAGAGCCTGGGCTGACCAGGACGAGGGCCACCAGCAGCAAGCGGGTGGCGAGAGCTGCATCCGGGGCTTCTGGGAACCAGCAAGAGCTCAGAGTGCAAGACACACACAGACCCCAAAGCCTTCCAAGGACGGAGTAAAGCCTCCCCGTTGCTTCTATCTTAATCACGTGCTCATGCAGTTTGAGTGCGCCAGGGTTACTGAAATCAGTCACTGGCACTATTTCTAACGTGGCTGAAAACTTACCTGGGGCCCTGAAATGTAACTGTTTGGCCAGGTTAAGTGATATATGAATACGTAATAAAGGTACCTAGATAATACATATTTTGAAAAAGTTCACGGAAAATGTAACGAAAAGATGAACTGATTTTGGCACAAAAAATTGCGAAATCTGTGCATAGTTTTCCTGTAATACGCACTTTCCACGAACTTTTTGAACAATTTAAAAAGTGAACTGAAACTTTCTAGCAACCTGGGTAAGCACTGTGAAGGTAACGCTGGCCCGGGGGGCCTCCCCCCACACCCCCACCCCCACCCGCTGCATGGCTATGGAACTGCACTACAGGGTACCCCCACCTGCCCACCTCTGTGGTCTCCCCTGGCTGCTCCTGCCTGCTATAACCAAGACCTTCCAGTACTTAAAACAGCGCTCAGCCCAGAGAACTTGCTACAGGGGGCAAACGGCATATCCTCACAGGACTATCTAGCTTACCTGTGTGGTTTTTTTTCTCTGTCATGTTAGGTCCAGCTAAACCAGACCTCCCAATGACCCTGCCACCCAACACACCACACACGCACACACACATGCATGCACACACACACTCAGTCCTTAGCTAAAAGGCAGCAGAGGAGGTGAGCAGTGCTACAGTAGCAGCCAACAGGCCGAAAGCAGGACTAACAGCTGTGGTACAGCAGCAGGGGGAGGCTGGCCCCTATCAGACCGGGCCAGGCTTGCCCAGGGCCAGGCTTGCCCAGAGTCTCCACCCGGGGGGCTCCGCCACCCACTTTCGAGCAAGAATCAATATTCACTCCTAATAATGGCCACCAAGACTTTGGACATCCAGGGCTAAGCCTCGCGTCTTTTGCATTCGTAAGAGGTAGATGCTACACCCCCTCACAGGGAGGCAACGGGGCCCAGACACCCAGTGTAAGGGGCCCCAAGTCACAGAGCCACCATGCGGCCCCTATGGGGGAGGCCGGAGCCGGCTCCTAAACCTTGGGGCCACCCTGACACAGCACAGAGTAGGCAGGGGTTAGCCGGGGCCCTTCCTGCCATCCACCCAGATGAAACAAGTCCCATGGAGGGAAACAGACAAGCCCCCAGCACAAGACCGACTGGCCGGACGCCTTGGGTGTGGCCCGTGACCCGTCTAGAGCCTGACCACACAGCTTTTCCCTCCTGGAATCTGCAAACCGGCTGCTGACTTTATTCTACACTTTCCAGAGTGCTCGGCCTGGCGTTTGGGTACAAATGCCAGAAGAGGCAGCCTACCACTCCCACATAAAGAGCCCTAACTATCAGCCACGGAGCACAAAATCTTTTGTCGTCCAGCTTCCAATGAGTTTTGCCAAAACCATGTGGACTTAAAGCGCTCTCCCAAATGGTTTCGGGCGGACACACGGCGAATCGAATTTAAGTCCACTTCTTGTACTACTGCTCAGGGCTGGTCCCCGGGTGGACCCGGGACGAGCGACTCCGCACCATCAACTCCGGGCGCTGTGCGATGGCCACTGCTTCTCAATAAACGCCACTCCCAAGGGCAACATTTAAAAAGGGGGGCAGAAATGTACGGGCTGCGAGGATCCGCCAGGCCACGGTCCGACTTACGTAAGATCGCAGCCCAGAGCCGCCCCGGGAGGCGCCGGAGGACCGGCCGAGCCCGGGGACCAGCTCCCGCGGGACGCCCCGCGCTGCCCTCCCCGCGGTGTCGCGCTCCCATCCCGCGCGGGGAGCGAACACCCACGACTGCCATCCCCACGCGCGGACGGCTCGCTCCTCCGCACGCCCCGCAACGGGAGTGCGGGCGAACCTCACACGCTCCGCAAAATTGAAGAAAAAAAAAAAAAACCTACAGCTCACACACACAGACACACACTCACAAAGACACACGCGCAAACTGCCCGCCACCGCACCCGCGCCCCCCCGGGACCCCCCGAGCCCGGCGCGGGCCCAGGCCGCGGCCGAGCAGGTGAGCCGGGGGCCCCAAGCGCGGCCGCCCCGGATCCAGCCACCCTCCCCCGCCAAACCCGGGCGCCCGCTTCTGCGCTCCCATCGGTCGATCTCCAGCTCTGGGCTCGCGCTTTCCGGGGGAACATAAAAATCCCTCGGACCTCCCCGTGCGCCCCCCGGCCCGGCCCCGCCGCCCCCCGAAGGCCGCTCCGTAACCGGAAAACACGCCGCGGCGGAAACTCGCGCCGCCCGGGCCCTCGCGCCCCGGCTCCGGGGCCCCGTCCCGGGAGAGGAGCCCACGGCGGCCCGGCCGCGCTTACCTCGCCGGGGCGGGCAGGGCCGGCGCGCGGCCGGGCGGCGGCGGTGGCGGCGGCGGCTGCGGCGGTGGTGGCTGCTCCGGGCCCGGGCTCCTCCGAGCGCGCCGGGCGGTGCGGGCCGGCACTGGGTCGGGGCGGCGGGCGCGCGGGGGCGCTCGGGGCTGGTGGGGCCGCTCCGCGCTCGGGGCCGCCGCAGGAGGAAGTCGCCGGCCCGGGGCCCCGGCCGCGCGCTCTTCAGCAGCGGGGGCGGCGCGAGCACCCGGAGAGAGGCGGGTGGGGGCGGGCCGGGGGGCGGCGCGAGGCGGCGGGGAGGAGCGGGCCGGCCCCTTCCGGCGAGACCGGCCCCTGGCGCGCTGTCACCCGGCCCGGGCCGCGGACCCCACGCACGCCGCCGCTTCCGCGGGGACCGAGTGGACGCGCTCGGCGGCGCCTGGCCCGGGACCGCCGGCTCGGCTGGGCTCCCGGGCCCGAGGGCCGCGGCCGGAGCGCACAGCCCCGGCGAGCTCTGCTGGGCGGAGCCCGCGCGGTTCTTCGCGGCTGCCGGGCGGTGCGGGGGGGACCCCCGCTTGGACGCGGGAGGGAGCTGAGGCTCGGGGCTCGCCAGCTGCCGAGGGATGTGAATGGGAAATGCGGGAGCGAAGCCCCGCTGGAGCTCGCTCCGGAACGAGCTGTGGTTTCCATTTTTATCAGCGGGGCGCCGGAGTCCGTGTCGGCGGCCGTGTGCGTTTCCTGCTTGGACCCGGGCCGCGTGCGCACTATTTAAAGTTTGAATCCTAAAAGAATTGAGCGAAGCAGGAGAGGAGTCCGGCCGCTTGGCCTTGAGGGCGGCCGTGGGGGTTGGGGGTGGAGGGGCAGGTTCCCGGTTTCCATGGCAACCCCATGGCTGCACCCCTTGGGGGTCTCCAGGTGTCACCACCGCCTGGGAGGGGACAGAGCCCACAGGGCCCCAAGACGCGGGTACTGGAGCGGGAGTCTTTGGGGACTGGGTTGGCTCAGATGGCTTCTCAGTGCACATTCAGGCCCCATCAGAAAACGCAGGTCAAGAAGGCATTCCAAAAATGGAATACAGATCCATAGTAAGTTACCATGGAGACAGTTGCTTTTTTTTTTTTTTAACGGTACCGGAAAATACTGGCTCATCTGGGCTGCAGCTCCATCTAACGCAAGTCACTCGCACAGCCCTGGATGGTGGGTGGCTGTGAAGTACAGTGTCCACGGCCATTCCCTGACGCTCGGTGCCCAGAGCTCACAGCCTTGTCCCCTGGGCTGGCTCCTGAGCCTGCACCAAGAGGCTCAAGCTCCCTGAGGGGGTGCGCGGCTGGCACAGGCTGGGGGGCTGGGGGCAGTGCCTTGCTCTTAGGAGCAGGAAGATGTCAAAGCAGGAGTCTGCAGGCGGCTGTGCCTGCCCGGGGAGCCGTCCCAGACCACTCACCTCCATCACGGGATGGGGGAGCTGTCCCAGGTCATTCACCTCCATCACGGGATGGGGGAGCTGTCCCAGGCCACTCACCTCCATCACGGGATGGGGGAGCTGTCCCAGGTCACTCACCTCCATCACGGGATGGGGGAGCTGTCCCAGGCCACTCACCTCCATCACGGGATGGGGGAGCTGTCCCAGGTCTCTCACCTCCATCACAGGACAGGGGAGCTGTCCCAGGTCACTCACCTCCATCACAGGACAGGGGAGCTGTCCCAGGCCACTCACCTCCATCATGGGACAGGGGAGCGGTCCCAGGTCTCTCACCTCCATCACAGGGCAGGAGCTTACTATAGAACCTATTCCGTTAAAGTTGTGAGCCACAGCAGAGCCGCAGCTTGGGACGCCTGTGTCCCTTATGGAAGGGCCACTTCGGGTCTCGACTGCTCCAGCTTCCCACTAATGCACCTGCCCCCTCCCCAGCGTGGGAGACCCAGATGGAGTTCTGGGCTCCTGGATTTGATCCGGCCCAGCCCCAGGTATAGGGCATTTGAGGAGTGAACCAGCATATAGAAGATCTCTCTCTCTCTCTCTCTCTTTGCCTTTCAAGTAAATAATTAAATAAATTTTAAAAAAGAGGAAGAAACACTGGAAGGAAGTGATTTGGTCCTTTATAAAAAGAACAGATCGCGGTTAGGCATAGCACCAAACTTGTCAAGAAGTGATCAGTGTGGAGCACATCGTAGAGGGGCTCAACATAACGTACCTGTTCTCCAGGCACCCCTCTGAGAGCATTAAAAAAAAAAAAAAAACTCTTTGAAAAAGTTTAGACATGGAAAAAACTATCCTTCCTCTCCCAGGTCTAGGTGTGTGACGCCCATGGGAAACGTGGAATGTGAGAGGCCTCCAGGCTGGGCCTCCACAAGCCTGGACTCCCAGCCAGGGCCCCCGTCCTCCCAGCTTCTGGGCCCAGGGGGCCTTGCTCCCACAGGGTCTGCAGCGCTGGTGGCCACGTGCCCATAGGACAATGCTGATCCTGTGTGCTGGTGGCTTCGTGCCCATAGGACAACGCTGATCCTGCTTCAGCACTGTGGCTACATGCCCATAGGACAACGCTGATCCTGTGTGCTGGTGGCTTCGTGTCCATAGGACAACGGCTGATCCTGTGTGCTGGTGGCCACGTGCCCATAGGACAACGTCTGATCCTGCTTCAGCACTGTGGCGGGGCTCCTGGTGCATTTTTCCCCTTCTGTGATTGGTCAGTTTCCTAGTTACTCAGCAGAACCGAGGCCAGGCCCGACTGCAGTCGGATTATTCATTGACTGTTACGCCACGAATCACGGGGCACGCGGGGCTTTACAGTAAATTAAAGCTGATAAACGGGCAGCTCTCGTGCCAGGAGATAAAAGTCGAAGGTGTTAAGAAGGAAATTGAAAGTCGGAAGGCACTGGGGGGAAGTGGCCTGATGCCCCTTGCAGAGTGCATCTGAGCAAAGCCTCGACTCGGTTTCCTTAAGAGAGAGAGAGACTTCCACCCCGGAAAAGACAACGACGGCCGGGTCAGCACTCAGAAGCAGAGAGGAACCCGCAGGTCAGAACCATGTTGAATCCGTTAAATAAAAAATAACTAATTACAAATTACAACAAAAATACAAGCACAAGTTCCTTAGACTTGATTATAATTAACTTACCTGGTCATTCTTTAAGAAAACAGCACCACGGACGTGTTTGCTTAGGGGTCCTTCTGTGTGGACCTTCAAGTCCAGATCAGCAGTGGCCACACAGCTCGTGGGCTTTCTATGTGCCAGTTAGGCAGATGCCATCGAGGCCGGGTGTATCGCTTATTCATTCGGCAAACGCAGTGTCAGCTGTTGTGAACACAGAGGTGAGCGAGGCTTAGCTCCCGCCCTTGGAGACGTGAAGATGCAGCCAGCCCCCTGGGCTGTAAAAACGGCACACGGAGCCGGAGAGGAACAGGACACTCTTCGAGATGGGAAGTGTTGGGTTCATGGATAGCACAAAGTTCATGGGAAATGAGATTAAAAGACATTTATTCTGCTGCAAAAAAAAAATGAGTTTTGAAATGCACACATAGTTTTTTCATTAGAAAGAAAATGCGTATTACGAAAACGCTGTGCAGTGATTTAGAAACTTTTTGGCACCAAAATAAGTGTGTCATCCAATCCCATTTCCACTAGCTTTTGCGGTCTGTATTGATAAGCCCTCGATGGCGGGGGGGGGGGGGGATGGGGGGGGTGGCACAGCCATTCTGCTGATAGGCCAGGGTCATTAGCAGCCTCCCAACCAGGTGACCCCAAACCACACAGAAGCAGATAAGTGGTGTCTGCTCTTTGTTTTTTGTTTTTTTTTTTATATTAAGATTACGTATTTATTTGAAAGGCAGAATTGGAGAGAAAGAGACAGAGATCTTCCAGCCGCTGGTTCACTCCCCAAAAGGCTACAACAGGGCTGGGCCAGGCTGAAGCCAGGTGCCAGGAGCTTCTTCCTGGTCTCCCACGTGGGTGCTGGGGCCCAAGCCCTTGAACCATCTTCCACTGCTTTCCCAGGTGCATCAGCAGGGAGCTGGATGGGAAGTGGAGCAGCCGGGTCTCGAACTAGTGCCCATATGGGATGCTGGCACTGCAGACGGCAGCCTCACCCTCTTTGTCTGCTCTTTGTCTCAGAGCCCAGGGACAGCGAATGTGGGACTCTCCTGGAGGCAGTTCCTCTCCCTGATGTCTCTGGCATTTCTTCTGCCTGTTGGCAGCTGCCTTTGCCCCCTGCGTTTCCTGCGGGTGTGAGACAGAGCCTGGGAAACGAACCTCTGCGGGCGGCCTGGGACTCCAGGTCACCTTCGACCCAGCTGTCCAGCTGTGGCTGGGGCAGGCCACTTCCCCTCCCCTGGCCTCGGTCTAGCTGTGCTTCCTAAGCACTTAGAGTGAGGTTGGGTGCGCTACGAAGTCTGGGTGTGTGCTATGCCACCGCAGGTGCCCTGACCCTGACAGGCTTGGTGCGGGCATCCCCTGGGTCCTGGGTCACCACCACCTGCTGCGCTCCCAGCAAGACCCCAGGAGTGAGATGGAGACCCGCGCTATCCCATGGACCTCTGGGTTCCTCGCCTCTGATTGTCCTGCTTTGGGCCTAAGGGTCCAAGGGATGAAGCCCTGGATTTTCAAACTGGAAAAAGATCCTGAGAGGGTTGGAGAGTGAGACCTACTCCTGAGTTGCTAGATAAAGATTCCTCCCTGAAGGGTCACACGGCTGCCCCTGGGGGCCACCCTGCAGGCGGCCTGACTTGCCCTTATATGGCAGCTCTCCCAGGGTTTCCACCGCCTTGCAGATGCACTGGGATCTCAAGCTGCGCGGTGACGTGCTCTGAGCATGTCCGGGCAGTCGCGGTCCTAACGAAGCCCCGTGGTCTTCTGCAATCTTGGTAATCCTGCAACAAATGTGTCTGACCTGAGTCAGACCTGGACACATAGAGGACTGTGAGGTGTTGTTTTGGGGTTTTTTTTCCCCTGAATCACAGAGTGATTCCCACAGCAGGCACTGAACTGCATGGCCCTCCCGAGCAGCTACTGGGTTACTTATTTTGCAGACTGGAAGACGGATCCACTCATTTTCACACAAACTAAGAGTTAGTCATCCTTGTGTCGGTCTAGCAAATGATTAAGGAAGGTTAATTCGCATGCCTCTGCTGGTGACGAAACACAGTCTGTGTTACAGTGTTCCTTGGATTAAAGGCTAAATAGAGTAACAGACTTAAGCAGGTGTACGAATAAATCATTTGGAATTGGAGCAGTCGGGCGGCATGGGTTCTCTGGACTGAGTTTTGCGGTGTGACTTTTCCCTTCCCTTTGTGAGTTTTAGGGTCTGTGTCTGGACGGCTAGCTGTTGGAGCCTCTTGTTTGCAGGTGCTAGGTGGTACCACCTGGAATGTGGTACCATCTCCTCCTGCCATGGCCTTGGACACCAGGTTTCAATATGTAAATTGTGAGTGGACACAGACGTGGAGACCTTAGCAACTCTGTTAAAGTATAACAATCCAAGAGCTTCTAGAATGTTCACAGAAAAGCGCAGCCATCACTCTCGTCCATTTTAGGATGTTTTCATCCTCTCAAAAAGTATCCTGTCCCATGAACTATCACCCCGTTACCCACCCCCCAAGCCCTAAACAACCACTCACCCATGTCCTGTGCCCACACATTTGCCTGGACTGGACTTCCACCAGAACAGAGCCATGCGGTATGTGGTCCTTCCTGTTGGGCTTACTGTTTTCAAGACCCAACCATGAGGGCCGGCGCTGTGGCCTAGTGGGTAAGGCTGCCGCCTGCGGTGCCAGGATCTCATGTGGGCACCGGTTCGAGTCCCAGCTGCTCTACTTTCAATCCAGCTCTCTGCTATGGCCTGGGAAAGCCCTCAGGCCACTGCACCCACATGGGAGAGTTGGAGGAGGTCCCTGGCTCCTGGCTTTGGATCGACCAAGCTCCAGGCATGTGGCTATCTGGGGAATGAACCGGCAGATGGAAGATCTCTCTCTGTCTCTTCCTCTCTCTATTTCTGCCTCTCAAATAAATCTTAATGAGAGAGAGAGAGAGAGACTCAACCAGTCACACATATCAGCAATCCCCCTGCTGATGGCTGATGTCCATATACTTTATCCCCAGTTATCCTGTGTCTGTTGGCAGGTGCACTGTGGTTGGGGCGTTAGTTTGAGTGTGCCTCGAAGGCCCATATGTTAGGGGCTTGGAGGCAGTAGAAGCTTCAGAAAGGGGGGTTTAGTGGGGGGTCAGTAGGTCACTGGAGATCTCCCAGTGAAGGTAGCTCTCACACGAGGGTGATCAGGACAGCGTGGCTTTGGGCCCTGTCTCTCTGCTTCCCGGTTCATTCACCCTGTGATCCCTCCTCTGCCTTGCTCCACTGTCCACCACAGGGCCTTTGCCCAAGCTTGCATCGCGTGGCCTGGACTCCCATCCTCCAGCACTGTGAGCCACATACACCTCTCTTTCCTTCTTGAGTATCTTGTTATTGTGACAGATAATGCAAGGTGCGGTGACCCTG